AGTGATCAAATTTACCTACACGTTGAAAATATTTACTGTAGACTAGTCTCTCTGACCTAAAGTGTTCTTAAACATGCCAGGAAATGTTTAGTATCATGTTAAGTCAAAAACTATACATGCAGGTTTGTGTCTTACAACAGCCTTCTTTTCTCCAGGAGGCTTTCCATCAAACACAAAGACCGGTTTTATGCCATGTTCCAGGAAAGTGAGTGTGCGAAAGAAGAGACCTGTGAGGGGGCTGAAGAAGAGAAATCAAGAGCATTTCACAAATATACACAGACAAATAAGAATAGAAAGACTTTTTCCTGCACAGCTACCTCGAGGGTTTATAGAGAATGGTCTGAAAAAGAGAAAATATCCAAAAAGCAGTAGCTCTCTGGGTGAAAACGCCTTATTTATGCCAGAGGCCAGAGAAGGATGGCCAGACTGCTTCCCATAGGAAAGCAACATTAACTCAAATAATCATTTGTTAAAACCAAGGTATGCAGAAGAGCATATCTGAGCATGACACGCTGAACCTTAAAGAAGATAGGCAGAAGACCACACAAGGTGCCGCTCCTGTCAGCAAGCCTCTGAGGAATGTTTCTAGCCCCTTCTTTAATCTATGCAACAAAGAATTAAGGTTTTTCTGAAGATAAACATGGGTTCAACCCAATACTGGCAAGGTGTACCTAACAATGTGACCAGTGAGTGTATTTTACTGGTGTCAGTGAGGTCTTGTTTACACTAATTGGCTGAATAGTTGCAGGATGTGGTGATTTTTGTAAGCCCTTTCTAATATTTTTAAATCTCATGCACTGATAACACAGTGCAACCTTTAAAAGAACAAATTAAGTGAAATGAATGAAAGAAAAAAAATTAAAATCTTTAGAAATGTTATTGCAGGATTATTTTAATTCAAATGTCTACTATTCTACAAGTGTTTGTATTTTTCTAGGCACCCAGTGTACCAGGTTTGATATAAGGAATTAATACACCATGATAAACAGTAAAGAGATAGAAAAAATAACGTTTACTTCAGTTTAACAGAACAGAACAGCATCACAACATGCTTACCTCAGTGTAGGCGTTGCTGCACGGAACTGATTTACAACAATAAAGGTATCGAGTGCGATTACTTTTCCTGTGGAGTATAGAAATACAACAGCAGCGTGAATACACAACAGTTTAAATTTGCCCTTAGACATTAATTACTTTTCAGTAACATCCACTCAAATTACACTTGATTAAATTCACCTAAACGCACTTGAAATGATCTACACTATTAAGCCAAGTCAAATACTGTACTCCATTTGCTTGTCAGGAATTTATGATGGAAATAAATTTCCAGCAATAGCAGTATTGATAATAATAACAACATCCAGCGCTGATTTGTACTGTATAAATTGCTTGTAGGATTAGCTTTGCCTATTCTTTTATGGCTTTTCTCAGCAGTAAACAGAGCTGGACTATGGACAACTTCATATACAGTTCAGATAACATTTGATTCCTTGTGTCATGGTGCTCAAAGTGTGAGGCGAATAGTATTAATAACACAGTTATCACGCAATGCTGTGTGTGTGTTTTCGGCACTAATAAAGTTACATTGAATTAAAATAAATACTAAGATACAGATGTTTTGATTGAACTGTCGAGTTAGCTGATTAACATAAGAGAATAGTGCGGACGCGGGTAAGTTATTATTAATTACTACCTCGGAAAGCCTGATTATTATAGCTTTTAATTCGTGGTACGTGGACTGGTAATACTTTTTAAAAAAAACGTTTCTTTAATGTCAGGTGCTATAATTACAGCTAGCGATGCTAGTAGCTAGGGGGAGAGTGCTAACATTAGCGGCTAGCAGCTGCAGCTGACCTCCTTAACAGAGTCAGACCTGCTGCTGAAACCATCACCGATCGTGTCTGTACCTGTGTAGTCACTGATATCCTTATACGATATGGCATCAGGAGCATCTGAGCGTATTAAATCAGCCAGTTTAGTGATCCCCATTGTGCCGTCACCACCGACAGTTTCCTCTTCGTGTTACTGTTCCAGGAAAAAAGGCGAAAAAGTGATTTAAAGTGAGTTAAGTCGAGTTTCCCAGATAATTCGAGCAGGATCCCTTGGATAGTAGATTGTCGATTTTTTAATTGAAGACGTCTCTCAAGTTATGCCTTTCAAGTTAAAAACACATCATCTTCTTCTTCTTCCTGGTGCTGCATGCCTGCCACCTAATGGAGAGTGTTGAGTCAGCGCTGAACACACACACGGCTGAAACTGACATCCATCTTTTATTACAGCAAACATATTTACAAACATCAAGTGTATTCTTATATTACAAAATAATTTAAAGTTTTAACTCCAACATCCAGCTTTAAGTGAGACATGTAGGTACAGACTTCAAAGAAAAACTAACAGCAACTCTTTGCTGACACCTCAGTAGTATATGTGATAAATAAACCTGCGTTAAATACATATTTATATTACTATCAAAATAAAATGTGGGGTTTTTTTTGTTTTTTTTTTAATAATTTCAACCAGATCGACCTCTTCTCATTGGACGATCATACACACACTGGCTCTTTGTATCACACTCAATTATGTATAAAATGTCATATTCCATGTTTTAATATTGCAGGTGACTTAGTGGGAACAAAGATGAGATAACAGCATGGAAAAACAGCACTTCACAGTACCCTACCCTTGTTACTTTGGTTAGCAAATAATCAAGATGACACAACCCCTAGACAAAAACGTTAAAATAAATAACATTAAAGACAGATTAGACAGGCTTTTCAAATGCTGTAATGTACACAAGAAGTTTTTCCAGTAACGAAGGGTCAGCGTTATGGCATCTTTAGAGTCAATCGGTTCAGTTTGACACTTCTGAAAGAATGGTAGTTTATGACCTGCTTTCAACAGAAAAGTCAGGTTCAGTTTTGCAACTACGGTTCCCAAAACATTTGTCACTTAACATCTAATAATTTGTTCAGGTTAAAAGATTTCATTTACACAACTGTAACACCAGTTCATTATGTGCAATGGATTTGTCAAGTTTAGAGGTGCAAACAGTAATATTTGCATAAACTATTTATATCAGTAGGAGCTGACAGTTGTTTGTGTAATTTGTACCGTATTTCATTTACGGCTGATCCAAACCAAAAATATAGGTTTGACAGTGGAGTAAGCTTCACAAATAGGACATGCTGGAGATAGCATTACCTTAACTGAAGTGGTTGTTGGTGCTGCATTGTCATTGTGCTTTGGCTTTCCAGTCATTCGGCAGTTTATAAAAAATCATTTACTTCTAATTTTAGTGCTGCGAGACACTAGGCCCACGATTACTGTGAAATTCTGTCACATCGACTTGACAAACAGAAAACAATGTTTTTCTGCCTCATGTTTTACCTCATGAGTGCCGAGACTGACCTGTTTAGGATAAACCTCCATACAGAATTTGCTATAAATCAGTGATCACGTCTTTAACAGGGAACTGCTTTGGTTTCCAGTGTTTTGGGAGA